TCTGGAGCACAGAGTATATTTGGGTTCAATGGCATGCTGAGAGAACAGCTAGAGTATGCTTCTTGCTGTTCTTCAGTGCCTACTGATGCTGCATGAACAGTATCAAACGAATTGTTGCTTTCATGTGAGTTAGTCTCCTACTTTACTTTCCTCTCTCAGGCTGAGCTACCACTTCTGTGAATAACAAATAAGGAAGAAGTCTTAAGAGCTTTGTTTAGACTATTCTTTTTGTAGGATAGGTAAGCTGGGTTTTCTGTTGCTTTGCTTAAGTTCTGTTTTTTTCACTTCTTTAGAGTAGAAGGCCACCTACTTCAAGAAATCTATGAAGTATAAATATGAACTTGATCTATCCAGAGATATTATCTGTATTGCCTGTGGGCAGACTCTCAAATCAAAATGAGACAGCTGCTCATTGATGATGCCTCTAACCTTGTACTTACTAGGTAGTAAGCTCTTAGGGTCTGGCTTTCCAGCCCTTAAGCTAACTGATAGGGGGTGATCTCTTATATGAATCACTTGTGGAGATTCAAGAGAAGGGAATCTTCTTTAAGTTGTTTTAGCTATAAATTTATATATATTTTTTTTCCCCTACTGTAAAATGGGGTTTCATGAAGCTGATCAGGCATTCAGTAACAGCAGAGATAGCAGCCTCAGACTTTAAAGACCTAACCTTGCAGCACGTATTATCAGACACCAGCCTGAACAGTTAGTGTTTAGTACTAGATACAGTTCACTTTGAAGAACCTATGTGGAAAAAACAACCCCGTATGCTGTAATTGTCTGTTGCATTGGGATGACTGTTTTTACTCTTCAGTGCAGTGCCTCTTATCTGACTTAATACTTCTAGGCAAAGGTTGTCTAAAAATAAGTTCTGGAAAGTGTTGTTTCAGTGGTGTAAATATGTCAGACTCAATTACTTGTTTTATCAAAATTCATGTATATAAATTAACTTGTCTTAACTACTTTAAAGGCTCTTCTGATCTGCTTTTATTCATATTCCAAACTTGGAACCAACAATTTGTTTCAGGAGTGAGCCCCCTCTTGGCTCTAGTGTACAGCTTTGGTTTTCCTGTGCTGTCTTCGATACACTGCTTGCTTGTTGATTTGCAAATGCCCAACATAATAGCCCGTGAATAACTTAACACTTGCACTAACCCAGGGGATTAAAACTTTGTGGAGGACAGTCTTGAACTTCTACATCAGCCTGAAGGGAAATGCAGCCCTGAAACTGAGCTAATACAGCTTCTGTTCAGACCTGTGAAATCACATGAGATGACTCATCTTTGTCTTTCATTCTATGTATTGATGTCTTGACCAATGTGGCTTTTTCCCCTACTGATGATGGGAGGCTTACTTGCATAATCATCTCACTATTAGCATCTTTTGTATTCAAGGAAGGAACTTACACTGCCTTTGTCACTAGAGCAAGTTTGACGTTCAAGTATGTAATTCACATCTGCAAAACAATGCATCACTTTAAGAGTTGCAGTTTGCTTTGTGTAAGCTTAGATTTAGAAGACTTAAAATTCTGAATTATTCCTTAACTATTTCTGTTGAGTAAATACTTGTTATCTGTTAGTTGATGGTAGCTGAAGAACAGGTGGAAGCCTCTGCTGAATGGTGAAATTTAATTGCTTCTAAACTTAGGTTTGTGAAATTGTGTAGGCCTATTGTCATAGTAATCTTTCATTATATGTGATTCTACATACTGAATGTCTTTGGCTCTGACTGGAAATGCTTTGGGTTCCACAGAGGGATGTTGGTTAGATTGCAGCCTGCATTCTAGTTATGAAATTGGATGGTGTTTATATGTTCACCTAAATTCTGGAGTTATGCTACTAGCAGCCAGACCTGAGTGAACTCTTTGGGGTCAATATGGGCCCAATACTGTTCAGTCTTCATAAATGTTATGGGTGATGGGGTTGAGTATATAGTCATCAAGTTTGAGAATGATGTCAAACTGGGAGAAGTAGATAGAACAGAATGAAGAGCTACCATAGAGACATTGACAGGTGGAAAGATTGGGTCAACAAGAATGGCATCAAGTTTAGCAGATGTTAAGACCTTCTGTTGGAATGAATTAATTCTAAGCAACAATTCATGCTAGGGTCTGACTGGCTGGGGGATGGCTTTGCTGAAAAGGACCTGACAGTCCTAGTGGACAGCAAGCTCATATGAGCCAGCAATGTGCCCTGCAGCAGAAAGGCAAAGAGTGTCCTGGGCTTGCATCAGCAAGAGCATAGTCAGTAGATCAAGGGATGTGATTGTTCCACTGTACTTGGCACTTCCAAAGCCACACCTGAAAATACTGTGTCTGGTTTTGGTCTCCCAGTTTAAGAGGCTGGAAAACTGTAGAGGCTCCAGTGGAGGCTTGTGAAAGTGATTAGAGAGTTGGCGAATGCAACCTGTAAAGGCTGAAGGAATTCTTTCTTCAGCCTATGGAAGAGGAGGATTGGGGGAGACTGCTTTTTAGCTCCTGTAGATAGCAAAGCAGCTTAATGCTCTCAAAGGAAATACTCTAAAGGGAGAAATGAGCCACACTTATGGATGGAGCTGTACAGTCCAGCCTAAGTTAAATTCTTTTCCTTACCTAAAATACTTATCTGGTAGGTAGGCCTTTCTGTGGCTGTATAGCTGTGTTCAAACAAAATAACTTCTAGAATGTCTTAAAGCATGAAATTTCTTTGCCATCACTAGCCTGTTATAAGAGATGTCTTTTCCCTTGCATAGTTTCTACAGCAAAAAGCTCTAACATGGGGACTGAAATTGCCAGTTACCTTTTGTACCTAAAAAAAAAATGGAGTTTAACTTTTATTTGGAACAGTCTGTAAACAGTGCTGCAAATACTTTTTTTAGCTGTATTTTTGGGTGACAATGAGGCTGTGTCAGCTGTGAAGTCCCGAAATGCTGAGCAGGTAGCTAATAGCCTGCCTTATTCTCTAGGAGTCTATGGTAAAATCAATTCCAATACTTTACAGCTACGCAACAAAATTCATGTAGTGCAAGTTGTCAGAGATCTAGCTGAATGATATATAGAGCATATATATAGCATATATACACACACACATATACTTCAACATATATATACTTGCTAATATATACTTTGAGAAATATGTGAAGGAAAACACTTTCTCCTACCCTTACTTAAATGCTTTAAAGTGATTTAACAGGTACCCCTGTTTCCTTGGGTTTGAAGCCTGTTGAGGCACACATGCTGCCTGCTTGTTGAACTTAAATGACACTGTTCCAACAATTTACTGGTAATTGTCACTCTGAACACAAGAAACCTAATTATGCAGTAAGCGAACAAGACTGTCAGACTGCAAAAGTTCTGTTTCGTGCTTTCATAGCCTAATAATTGGAGGAATATTTCTTGAAATCACAGAATATTGTTGTTTGCAGAGTGAAACTGAAGTTTGTGGGCTCAGTCAGATATTTATATTGAAATGGTTATTAATTTAAATAGTTAATGTAGTTTTGAGCTACAATAGTAATAAATAATACCCCTTTGTTAAAGGGGCTTAGAAATGGGTGTTATGGCAGGGTATACAGCATGTTGAAAAATACACAAAAAAATGGACAGTGTCTTTGAGTACAATGCATGAGACATTAGTATGTCTAAGTAGGTTCTTAAGCAGGTCAAATCAAATCTTGTGTACAGAAAGCTCATGTGATCTGACAGCATGTGTGGTGACATTTATAACACTAGCATTTGTGTTAAATTGATTCTCAGTATGAAATGTAAAGCTGTGCTTGAAGGAGGGAGTGGTATTCCTGTGAAAATCTAGAAAACTGCTCATTTCTGAAGTTAGCAAATGTTCAGATATCAAGCACTTCAGTAAAACTGCATGTGTTAATTGTGATTAAGAGGAATTAAAGAAAAACCTTCCTGCTG